CACCGGATATAGCTAGATGCTATGTATATTGCTGTAAATATAAATGTGGAATAACACCTGAGGATTGGCAACGCATGGGGGGTATCATGGGCGAAACAGTATACTCTATTATGTCCATGGTACTGATTATGTCTATAGGCGACGGTTACCACTTTACATCAGGTGGGCCGTCAGCTTGTTCGCCATTTTAAGTTACATAAAAAAAATACAAATATAATGATATTACCATCAATCTGTCTACCTATTTATCTACACGGTGCCTTTTTCATGGTGTCATCAGAGATATAGACCAAGGCCAGTGTTGTAACTATACCATCCGAGATCCCGACTACATTTCCCATATACGGGGAAGGATTAGTTATTGAATGAATTGTATTATGGTCCCGCTATTAATGCCTAAGGAACCCTAATACTGTTTTATTGTTATTATTCTGATCGCTCCGCTAATGGCCAGGAATGGTTTGTAAACAGCCGAGGTATAACGTGTCAGTTAATAATGCACCTTGTGTCTAATAAATACAGAATCGAAATTAGATCACTTCCTAATGTGAATTCATATCCTGACGTTTCCATAAAAAAAAAACAATGATGGGAATCTAGAATATTCTCTATGATACTATGACGCTACTCCTCTCCGTCCAAATTCACTGGTGCCGCTGGCGGAGCACCAGTGAAGGATGATAGGTGAGGATGAAACAGTTCAATTAGCCCATCGTGACGAATTCAACAAGAATTGTTCACGATGGTTTCCAGGGGGAACCACGTGGAGGTCGACCTAATAGGGCATATTGCTAGCAATGGGACTGTCAAACTCCATTGCTAACAATCCCTTCCCCCCAAGGATTTATAGAGTTACACATTAAAAGCGTAATTACGTGAAAAATGTGCATTGTTGTATGTTTCCCCCTAATTTATTTTACATTTAAAAACAGCATACTAAACTGCAATTAATTACATTCACTTGAAACTATATTTCAAAATTTAGAAACAATAAGATTTTTTTTTAATACTCAGACAGCCAAATCAGCTTTGAGCTTATATTGTGTAAGTGTCCTGCTTTTCTATCTCGCTCTTATATATATTATTTTGTTCTCTTTTATATTGCCAATATATATATATATATATATATATATATATATATATATATATATATATATATATATATATATATATATATATATATATATATATATATATATATATATATATATATATATATATATATACTTTATAATCAAAGGACAAAACACATCAAAGTTAAAAAAAAATGTAATAAACCAATTGGGTTTTCTCATAAATTTTTTGATGACTTAATCATAATTTAAAAAATTAATCCATGTAGAAGAAAATATAGATACTAGATTAAATTCGAATTATAATAAATATTCTTCTGTTTATAAATTTGTAGTTTTACTTTTTTAATAAAAAAAAAAGTTCCCGCCAAATAGTAATTTTATTATTTCATATATTTTAAAAAAATATATACCATAGACAAAAATTAATGTTGTTATAAAGTTCAACGATAGACAAATGAAGAAGAGAAATACGACACTTTAAAAAACTGACTAACATGAAGTCATCATGTACCTAATAAAAAATATTACTCATCCATGTTATTATTATTAGAAATAGTTTTGTTTATTGGTTGATATATTAAAGGCCGTATATGCCTCGGCATAGAATGGGCCACCCCTTCCTTTCCCGCGGGTGTCGTAAGAAGCGACTAAGGCAGTGCGAGGGATTGGCAGCAGCGACCTTAAGGGGGGAAGGTATTGTTAGTAATGCGGACTACCAGCCCAATTGCCAGCAATATACCCTGTTAGGTCGACCTCCACGTGGCCCCCCCTGGAAACCATCGTGCTGAATTCAGATGTAATTATCACGGTGGGCTAATTGATCTGTCTTTTCTTTCTCGCCTATGATGCCTTGCTGGTAACCCGCTAGTGTATACCGTTAGCTCAGACGGGGTTTCCATTTCATTATCATCCATAAAAAAAGCTTAAAACATCTCTAAACGTCTAACTGTGGTTGCCAATCTGGATGCCAAGCGTGGCGACTACTGGCAAAACTCACCTTATGGGGAAAGCTTATGTCCAGCAGTGGACAGTTAATGGTTGAGATAATATTAATTGTCTAGTAATAGTACCGATTCGACAATATCTTAGGCTTGATCAAATTGCAACAAGTACATTTTGCTCCAGAAAAGGATTACCTACTTCAATCGGGGCAAAACCGGTTATTTGGATTTAAAAATTACTGAACTGATTTTGATGAAATTTCAATGGGATCAATCTGAAAGTGTATCGTTTCAAATGAATTTATAAACGATGGTGTTCTGAGTTTCCAAACATAAATAAGTACAATTGAATAAATAATACCGAATTGAGAATCTCCAGCTTTGTTTGAAGTCGGTTAAAATATATGTTGTTCATCAAGTCCACCATATTCGTTCTTCGAGCTCAACGCCTCAATACCAAGGCCTTGGCAGTGCCGTTTTTATCATGAAAAGTAATATTTTTTTTATACAACTTAGAATGGCAAACAAGCTGACGGCCCACCTGATGGAAAGTGGTAACCGTCGCCTATACACATGAGCAGTACCGCGGACATAACAGAATATACTGTTTCGCCCATGATACCCCCCATGCGTTGCCATTCCTAAGGACTCAGGCGTTATTCCTCCGTACACTGTAAATTCACGCCATATCCCACCCTTCAAATCGAAACACAGCCATGCGAACACAACTGCTTCACGGTTGAAACACGAATGGAAAAGAGGTACCCAAGCAATCGACTTTTGTACAAAGTCTCCCTCTGGTAAAATAAATATAGTAATAATAATAAAAGTAAGTAAATAATAATAACTAAATAAATATATTTTATTATATTACTATAGTTATTGAATGAATTTTTTTTACAACACAGGGGGCAAACGAGCATGCGGCTCACCTGATGGTAAGTGACTACCGCCGCCCATGATTACCTACAACACCAACGGCATTGCAGGTGTGCTGCCGGCCTTTTAAAAAGGAATATGCTCTTTTCTTGACGGTTATGTTGTCATATCGGTTCGGAAATACTGCTGCTGGAAGCTGATTCCAAAGAGTGGAATATACCAAAGTTATACCAAAATACATAGGTTATTTTATGTGCTAATTCACGCGGGCAAGTCCACGGGAAGCAACTAGGTTAAAATATTTTTAAACATATTATAGTAAAGTTACTTAAGCACTGAGTAAAGTGCTTGTAAAACAATATTTACTTACACATAAAAATGTGGTTCGCTTACTTGAGCGGAGCTTTTGTTAATGTTCGAAGGCGCGATTTTCAGCAATGCGCAAGCGCATTTCTTTATGCAATATATACCTAGAGTGAACTCAAAACCATTAGCATGCTTTTAAAAGTATGTTTAACCAGTAAAACTGAATATTTTTCCAAACGGACACGGGTCAATGAACTACAGACAATATTTAATCAAAAATTCATAAAAAAATGACTTTTAACGAATATCGGGTACAAATTTACTTGTGTTGCTGTGCGGCTCCGGCATAGAATGGACCACCCTTTCTTTTCGCAAGAGGTTTAGACTTAAACTTACAACACCCACAGCTTAGTGGTCGAGGGACGGGCAGCATTGTCCCTTTTCACATCACTATAAAATTGGTTTCAAAATTTTATGGCGATTAATTATATATCTACACATTATTTGGAATTAGGAAGAACATTTTCGAGGCGCCATATTATTTTTGTCCAGTCGATTAGCATATCCTAATCAAGTGGACGAAGTCGGATAAAAAACTAGTAACTTAAAAATAAATGTTAAAATACTGGCAGCACATCCATTTTGTGCAATCGTCAATGAAAACAAAAAAAAAACTTAATTTCAATACACTTTTGGATTAGATTAGCCCTACAAAATAACTCAATATAACTATATTTAGCCGTTAACTCTCCTCTGATGAACATGGGCGACATCAATATGATGCCCACGGCCACTTTCTACCATTGTACGGCTCGCCATCGACAGGGAGTTCACCCTCATACCTTACAGCCTAAATGGTCGCGTACAACGCGGTTTCAGAGATGTTTTCTCCCACGAACACTCAAATTATGGAATAAGCTCCATGCCGAGGTTTTCCCAAGAGACTACAGCATGGGGTTCTTCAAAAGGGGGGTAAAGAGGTTATTTCAGGGTCTGCATCGCGCGCGTTATATCCCTGGTATTGCAGGCATTCATAGGCTACGGTAACCGCTTACCATCAGGTGGGCATTAAGCTTGTTTGCCACTTTAGTGGTATAAAAAAATGGACCTTTCCTATAAGGAGAATTTGGCGAGCAGTTGCCACGCTTGGTAGGCGGGTAATCGCAGTTAGGATTTGGTGATGTTTTAAGAAGGATGCCGCTGCACATCTCTCATCCTCTTTTAGTCGCCTCTAGGACACCCAGGAGAAGGGAAGTGATGGCCTATTCTATGCCGGGATCACACGGCCAATTTATTATATATAATAATTTGTTATATTTATTATATAAAAATGTATTATATACAATAATAAATCTTTATTTATCACTCACAAGGGATACGTTATAGTGTTTTAACTATTTAGATTTTTTATAATGAAAGAAATATTTATTTAGTGCTTAATTTCACACACAACTACAAAAAACAATCGAAAAGTAATAAATCCTTGCAGATCTAAAGGCTTGCACGGGATCTTACATTACAATAAATAACATACATACATACATATCTGTCACGCCTGTCTCCCATTAGGGTAGGCAGAAACAATGGAACGCCAAATGCTTCGATTCAAAAAAACCTCTTTCGCTTCCTCCACATTCATCAATCATACAATAAATAAATAAATTATTATACATCTACATTCATACATCCAGCTATAATAAGTTGTTTTGTTTCTGTCGATACCACAAAATAGTATAATGGGTTTCTAATATGTTAGCTATGAGTTAAAACCATAAATAAATCGAAACTTGAATCTTACCCGTAAACTTCATTTTCATATCTAATCTTGACGCTTCAATGCTCATAGATACTTTCTATCTCCAACTATTTTCACACTACACTTTTAGATAACTTGACGAACTTAAAAACACATACGGTCACAATAGGTTTCATTTTGAAAAACAAAGTTCACTTCTGGAACTAAACATCGTTTCCTTTGCTTAATAAAAAAAAAAAAAAAACGTAAATTAAAACACGTCAAAAAATATATATATATATATATATATAAAAAAGAAACCAAAACAAAATTGTCTATGATCAGGAAAAGCGCGCCAAACGCACGCCCACACGCGCCAACTGTCAATATGTCATACAATTCGAAATCAGTTTTCCAGGTTGCATCGCGACTTCCTTGTTTCTGATCAATGTCACAGTGTAGCTGTGTCAGCACCGCACTGCAACACTGCAACGGCCTTCGTGTAACAATTTCACAATTAGTGATGGACTAATACGAGTTTTGTACAAATAAGTATAAAAAAAAAAATGTAACATTATAAAAACCGATTTCATTATTTGTAACCGATATTGTATTGAGTAATGCTAATTGCAGATATACCTATTCCATAATATTATACACTGTTATTATCTGTAATACCGTACACGTGAATTTCAGGAGTTTTTTTTTATACTTCTAATAATGGCAAACAAGCTGACGGTTCACCTGAAGGAAAGTGGTAATATAGACATAAACAGTACCATGAACATAACAGAGTATACTGTTTCGCACATGATACCCCCTATGCGTTGCCATTCCTAAGGACTCGGGTGTTATTCCTCTGTACTCTGTAAGTTCACTGCCATATCCCACCCTTCAAACCGAAACACAGCCATGCAAACACAACTGCTTCACGGTAGAAATACAAATGGGACAGAGGTACCTAAGCAAACGACTTTTGTATAAAGTCTCCCTCTGGTGATCAAAAATATAATGTATAAAAAATCGATATATTATATTTAAGATTTATACATCACTATCGATTCATTTGGAGTTTACATGAATAAAATAAAATATTGTGTGTGACCTCAATGAGTCATTATCATCAAACAGCCTTTAACTGCCCATTGTTGAATACAGGCTTCCCCCATAAGAGGAGTCTTGTCACTAGTTGCCACGCTTGGTAGTCTGGTTGGCAACTGCAATTAAGATTTGGCGATGTTTTAAGAGGGACGCTGTTGACAATTCTTTGATCATTAAGTTCCCTTAGTCGCCCTTTACGACACGCACGTGAAATGAAAGGGTGGCCCATTCTATGCCAGGTCTGGGATATGTTCCTCTTGTACCCTGTAATTTCACTATTTTTTAATAGTTAGCCCGCCTGTGCTATTGGGATACGCTAATGGGGCACTAGTGAGGGACGACAGATGAGGATGAAAAGGCAGGTCAGTTTGCCAATCGTGAATTCCACTAGAATTAACCACGAAGGTTTCCAGGGGGAACCGTGTGGAGGTCGACCTGATAGGGTGTATTGCTAGCAATGTGTCAATTAGACCCCATTACTAACAATTCCTTTTTCCCAATTTCGCTATTTTACGCTATGCATATTTTAGACGTTGGTATAAGAATAAAGACTAGGACCCAGATTATTATCATAATTTTATTTTTATATTGGTGTTGGTCAAAAACACATAAAGTTAATTTTCATTTATAAAAAAAATTACATTAGTAAAATTAAAAGACAAACTTACTTCATGTAGGTACTTAGAGACCGTATCCTTAATCTATGGTAGGTATCGATAAAAACGTCAAATGTCACAATTGCGTTGCTCATCGATCGGGCGGGAGACAAAGGACGCAAGTTATTCAGCCGCACGTAGGGCTTAGGGTCGGTTATTGTTCATTTGCCGCTTGTTTATAGTACTTTAACGACCATAGTGCAAGTGAACGTTAATTTTTATTATTATAATAAATTTGTTTGGTGTTGATGTTACTGTGGTTGTAAGTTTATTTGTTGATGTAATTTTAAAATGCTTTGATGAACTGTAACCTCTGTGTAGAGTCCAATTAACAGAGAGAGAGAGAGAGTTTGGTGCCCCAAAATCGACCATTTTTTATACAAGTCGTCTACTTGGATATGGATACAAAAAAATGTGACAACAATAACAAAAAAATAAATAAACAGTGTTCAAGAAAAGGCCGGAGGAGGCGATTGTTAGTAATGCGGACAACCAGTTCCATTGCTAGTAATATACCCTGTCAGGTCGACCTCCATGCGGTACCTCCTGGAAACCATCATGCTGAATGTTTTTTTAATGGATGATAATGGAATGGTGACCCCACCCGCGCTATCGGCATACACCAGCGGGGTACCAGTAAAGGATGATAGGTGAGGATGAAGCAGGTCAGTTAGCCCATCGTGATGAATTCAACAAGCTGACGGCCCACCTGATGGAAAGTAGTAACCGTCGCCTATAGACATGAGCAATACCATGGACATAATAGAGTATACTGTTTCGCCCATGATACCCCCCACGCGTTGCCATTCATGCATAAGCATCTTTGAATCGTCATTTTTTATGAATTTTAGCAACCAAATTCGGAGTGCAATTTTAGCTGAGAAGCACGGGTAAAAAAAACACGTCTGTTGCTTTTTTAAATTAAAATTATGTTTACAAGTAAAATGTGACCATTAGAATATGTCCACTACAAACTTCATATTGATAAAAAAAAAAAACTACAATCGATCACTGTATTTTCGAACAGACTTTTTTTTATACAACTTAGAATGGCAAACAAACTGACGGCCCACCTGATGGAAAGTGGTAACCGTCGCCTATAGACATGTGCAGTACCGTGGACATAACAGAGTATACTGTAGTATAAGACTAGTCTCTATTAGAAGTACCCGTTCACGAGTATGACGAATGAGCCAGTCATAGTTGTGTTCAACCTTATCATAGGGAGCCCAACGTCCCGGCCCACCACGCGGCCACGCGCGGTTATTAAAGTGAGCATGACATGTTTCAAAATACGCAATTATCTCAAAAATATCGATACCAAGTTGAATATATATGTACTCATGTATCAGATACTCAGTATACGCACTCATTTTAAAATTAAAATGTTATTTTTAGTATATAATTAATTCAATAACTTTACATTAATTTAAAAAAAAAAAATACTAATCACTAAGTGACAACAAAAGTTTTTTTTATACAACTTAGAATGGCAAACAAGCTGACGGCCCACCTGATGGAAAGTGGTAACCGTCGCCTATAAACATGAGCAGTACCATAGACATAACAGAGTATACTGTTTCGCCCATGATACCCCCCATGCGTTGGCATTCCTGAGGACTCAGGTGTTATTCCTCTGTACCCAGTAAATTCACGCCATATCCCACCCCTTAAACCGAAACACAGCCATGCAAACACAACTGCTTCACGGTTGAAACACGAATGGGACAGAGGTACCCAAGCAATCGAATTTTGTACAAAGTCTCCCTCTGGTTAAAAAGTGTTAATATTTAAAAAAATGAACAATGTCAAAAACTTTAAGCTTATAAAAATTCAGCTTGAGTTTACTTCTGTCAAGTATTTTTGTTATTAATGTATTCTTCTATCCTGTAATAAGTCTTTCCAGAAAAAAATCTTTTTTATAACAGCTTTATAACGTCTTTCGAGAAGGACCAAGGTAGATTTTGGTTTTACATATATTCCTAAGAAGGAATTACTGACTTTTACAATCGACAAAATTGCTGTTGCCACTGGGCAACAATGATTTGTTCTTATGGCTTAAATTTTTATTACTATGATCGCTTAAATTTCGTATAAGATTTAATTTTTTTTCTTACATATGTATTTATATTAAAAGGAAATTAATAATCATCAAACATCCGCCCTCAAACCATATATTACACATCTGAATGCTTGTCGTATTTAAATCTAAATAATAAATCAGTTGGACAAAAAAAGATTGGATTCGACCTCCATTACGTATTGTCTATAATACGTGACTAGGAAAGCGCTGGCCGAATTACGTCGCTATTCGATGACGATAACATTTCGCAGCCGCGTGTCTATGGCCGATTTGTTTTGGCGGGAAATGCGGGTGGAGTGTACGATTTGTAAATATTGTACTATCGATTGATAAATTCTAATGTCAAATAATTACCTACCTATCACACTTATGTCAAATGAAGACAAAAATAAATGGAAAATAAACAGTCAAACAACGCGTGTAATGCATAGGTCCTCAAAGTTTTTTTTTTTTCTATAAACAACTAACTATACTTTTTGTTTTGGGTAGGTATACCTAATATTTTTTTTTTGATATATTATAATTTTTATGTGTAATAAAATAAGGTTTAATTTCTCTGTGATGTTTTATTAGCATTAATATATTTCGTAGGTTTTATTATTTATATCACACTTCGGACACTTCGTACAAAAACTCCGCGAAAATACAGAAATATAACACGGAAAGAAAGAAAGATTGAAGCATGTTTAAATGATAATTTTTCAAATGATCCATTAGCGGCCATTCAGAAAGCAATTTCAGACGAGAACGGGCAACAAACTCGGCTGTTGCTCTTTTCAAAAAGTTCCAACTATATAAATAATGAATTTGTGTGAAAACAAACTACTAAGCGGTATCAGATCATACAATTTAAAATGTCACCATCACTACATAGTATAAAACAAATTCGCTTCCCATCTGTCTGTCCCTATGTATGCACAGATCTTTAAAACTGCGCAACGGAGTTTGAAGCGGTTTTTTTTAATAGATAGAGTAATTCAAGAGGAAGGTTTATATGTATAATACATGCATAATATAGTAGAGAAACAATGATAAATTTAGAGGTTTCTAATGTGATGTCGTAAATAAACACTTTTTTGCGTTTACATTGCAAACACTGGCTGAACCCTACGAGATAGATAAAAAATTATACACCTTAAGAAGGTGTTTAATTATAAACCGATTCGGAAAATTGTTTTTTATCTTTTTTAAAATTGGTTCCATAGAAATTTTATCAAATTTTATTCAGTTGTTTAGTTTTTAAATCAGAATAACTTAATTATTTCAATCAATTTTTTTTGAAATTTTATAACACAATCTTAAATTATATTATTTTTAAAACTTATTTTATTTTTTATTTAATACTTTATTTATTTATTTATTTAACTCTTTATTGCACCATAAATAAAAATATACAATGACAAGTGAATAATTCAAGTGAAATACAGTAACATAAATACAGATTGAAATATATGGTACACATAAAGGTACAAAAGGCGGTCTTATCGCTAGGGCGATCTTTTACAGACAACCTTTAGTTAAAGGAGAACAGATAGAAAAGGGCACTTTATTGTACACATTCGTTATAAAAATTTGACAGAGGTAAACAAAAGTACAAAGGCGAGCTTAACTCTGATAGAGTTTTCTTCCGTTCTTATGTTCGTATTTAATAATGTCTAAATACATGGAGTGACGCAAAGCCCCGTACGGC